AATGTCTTTCACTTTCATTGTCAAATCATTTCTTAATTATGATTTCCGGCAAAATATACACTTTTTTTGGGCACAAAACAGTTTTCTTTTATAGCTACGGAGGCTGACGTGCAACTAGACTTCACACGAAATGTGTTTACCGTGAGTTTCAGTGCACCAGACTATTTTCGGTAAAGTAGTTCCAGTTGTTTTGGAGCAGACGACAGCTCTCTGGAAGCAGACATGGCAGAACCTGATTGGCTGAATGTGCAATTTCGGAAACATTCCGCACACTGGTTTATTGTATTTTTCTTTGTTTCCTTTAAAATCTAGAAAATTTAACCCTTTAAAAAGTTTTGTAATTGCTTCGAAGTAATTCAATGTGTAAATAAATTCATTGTTATTTCTCTGATAGTCATGATAGATTTCACGGTCCTTCTTTGTTGATGGCGCACGTATCTGTTATTATTAAGTGAACTGTTCTTGCACCTGTTTCACGCGTGTCATTTGACGAGGAAACTTTCGGTCGTAATGTTGCCCAAAAACCTGTTATATTTGTTGCCCTTTTGGGCTTATTCTTTTTCTTGTCCTGCTGCCCGTGTGAAGATGAAGAAGCCCCAGTGGAAGTGGATAAGGTAATAATTCTTTGCAAATCTAGTTAATCACGCACAGACGCAGGAGCTATGGCCAGCTGACTTGCTAAGGCATTGCAGCTTTATCGTGATAAAAACTGACAATGTGACATAGAAAAAAAAGGTAATATTAGATAGTGGATATTTTGCCGGAGGTAATGACGGCAAACTAACGTTTACTAAACGCAGTGGCTATTGTTACGGCAGCCGTAACGCATTTTCCAATTTCTATTGTTACGGTAGACTGCCTTCAACTTTTATAAAAACATGACAAGAAAATATAAAATTAGAAGGAAAAAAGTGAATTTGAACGTTATGAAATTTATTGGACTTTATTTTCCTTTAAAAAAAAATCCTCCAAAGCCTCAGGTTAGAAAAGGAAAACAATTCGAGTGCAAAACTGAGATTCGAACCCGCAACCTCGCGCGCGGTGCAAAATCCTACCCTCTATCGACTGAGCTGTCGCACTGCTCGCTAAAACGTGTGGAAACAAATAATTATATACCTGCGTGCGTATCAAAAAGTATCGTAGAGGGCGCTAAACAACGACTGCCGTAACGATAGCCACTTCGGCTAATCGCCGGCGGCAATCCATATCAACAGAGGGCGCTGTACTCTTTAAGATAGGGCTGAATTATAAGATGTATTAAATTCACACCAAAAGTTGTGAAGCACGTTTGGTATAGTGGTTAAGCAAAGGCATTAGTAAGTGGGATGACTCGGGTTCGATCCCGATCCCAGCCACATTTTAAGTTTTTTTTTTCCCATCCTCAAATAAATAAGAAATTCTTCTTTTATTATTTTAACATGTCTCAAACATTTTATTGTAGAGTATTACATTTTCTTTTTCAGATTTGTGGCTCTGGAGGATTTTTTTTAAAGGGAAATAAAGTCCGAAATTATAAAATGGTCTGAATCCCATCTTGTGAATACGAGGTTACAACGATAATAATATTGGCATGCAACCAGACTAAAATTTGTCACTGGAAAATGTTTTGAGTACAAAAAAACAGTAACTGCGCATGTTCAGTGCATATCTGGGCAAACTAACGTTTACTAAAGGTTTGCCGTCTCCGGCAAAATATCCACTGCCTAATCTTATCAGTGATTATCTGTAAGACACCTCTATTTTGTATGAGTTCCGTTCAAAAACTGACTTTTGCAGATGTCTGTCCATTACCAAAGTGACTTTTTGCAGGCTAAAGCAGTCTTTTTTTCTTCAGATATTAAACCCATGCTACAATTTACAAAAACATGAAAACTTGCTACATGTTGGCCTAGGCCTACTTCTAGTTGTAATTTTGAAGATTGTGGGGGAAAAGTTCCATACTCGATCGTCAATTTATCTGCTGCCAAACATATTAATTGTCACCTCACCTTGTGATTTCAACCAAGAGAAATCCAGGAAGCTGTGTTAGGTGAAAAAAAATTAGGAAAAATGTGTTTTTAGAGCACATTTTTGATGCACACGTCGTGCAGAACCAAGTTGAAGCAGCCGGTCAAAACTGATTGAAGTGTCTGGAACAGCGGTACGTTATACGCATGACATCGATAACCCTGACGTCGCATGAGCCGCCAATGATAGTGCAATACGTCATTATGAATATTTATTTTATCATGAATATTTAGTTTTATTTCAATGGATACTTCAAATACGTCCAAAGATTGATTTTTGCAACAGCGATGGTGCGCGACCTAGCAGTTAAGAGTCTCGTGTATCAAGCAAGCGTCCGAGGTTGAATCTCGATGAAGTAAGTAGCTGACTGATTGATAAATAGAAATTAAGGAAAGGAGAGGGTGAAGTAGAGGAGGGAAAGTGGAGGAATAATCATAAAAGATGTAACTTTTGGCGCTAGAAAATTAATTTGAAAAAAGTGGCGATCGAGTATGGAACTTTTTCCGATTGTGGATATTGCCGGAGGTAAGGCACTCCGGAGGTAATGCCGGCAAGCTAATGTTTACTAAAGGTTTGCCGGCAGCATCCATATCAACAGAAGGGGCTGTACTCTCTAAGATATGGCTGAAATGTAAGATAGGCCCTATATTAAATTACCACCAATGGTCGTGAAGCACACTTGGTCTTAGTCCAAAATTTGGGACTCTCAATACTGTGTTACAACGATAATGTTGGCATGGAGCCGTACTAAAATTTGTCACCGGAAAATGTTTAAGTACAAAAAAATAGTAACTGCGCATGTTCAGTGCATATCCAGCAAGCTAACGTTTACTAAAAGCTTGCCTTCTCCGGCAAAATATCCACTGCCAATTTTGAAAGCACATGAGCTTGAAAAGTACATGAATGATTTGAATGATTGCTGAACTAAAATAAAGCTTATGAATTTGGCTTTCACATCCGCAATTTTGAAAGTGCTACATGCAGAACTTCACTAAAACATAGGCCTGACATTTGGGTTTCGTTTTTTTAATCACCCTGTTTGTACATATACATTGCAAAATTTTATGTATATTGTATTTTACTTCGGGGTTTTGCAGTTCCCTTTTTGAAACATTCTATTTCCAATTTCTGCAAACCATCAGCCACAGAAGATGATTTGAGCCAGGAGAGACAGTCATCTTAGATGAGGATGCTCTCATGGACATGGTGATGATGAAGATGATAATGAGGAGCCAGAGGTAACAGAAGAAGATGGAGTCCTTGTGCTCACAAGTGATAAATTTGATGATATTGTCAAGAATAAAGACATCATTTTGGTGGAGTTTTTATGCCCCTTGGTAAGTCCCCCCAACCCCACTTCTCAGAGTAGCAAATATAGGCCTACATGTTTAACAAACAAACTTGAATATAGTACTTGTGGGCTCTATGTATGTACTTGTAGCAAGTTTGTCTTTCAGCATGTGTTTAGTTAGATAACTGCATCAGAAAGTTCAGATCTTTTGAGAGTATTCAGGTTAAAACCAGGGCGGGTATCATCGGCCCTGATTTAGATAAAGCCTGATTAAAATTTTCTAGAAACATTGATGCAACTCATATTCTATTCGAGTTAATATCTTAGCCAAACATCTATGCGATTAGAAACATGTGAACTTAAAAGTTTGGGAACTGATGTGTACTTGCATATCTTTCAGGTGTGGTCATTGGTAAAGTCTTGCTCCAGAGTACGCAAAAGCAGCCCAGACAATGAAGAAAGCTGACCCCCCTGTCCTTTTTGCTAAGGTTGATGCCACAGCGGAGGCGGACCTTGCTCAGAGATATGAAGTGACAGGATACCCAACCCTCAAGATATTTAGGAAAGGAGAGGCTTCGAATTATGAAGGACCAAGAGATGAAGCAGGTTGGTAACAATGTTGAACTAAGTACAGATGAATGGTGGGATTTAAATACAGATTTGTTTTGACATTTGGTTTGATTTTACTATTCGGTTTATATTTTTGAAGCCGGTATCGGAAACCAACCTTGAAAAAAAAATACGCTTACCAGTTTTCAGAATACAAGCTAAAGAAAACAACTGGAACATCCCCATATTTGCTGTATGGTCTCTGATTATTTATTTTATTTCCAACAAGACCTTCATAAAAGGAGAAGATAAAATCACAATAAATACATATAATTATATACATAACAACGTGTTCACAAACAGGATAACCCCGACACTCAAGGACTGCAATAACTGCAGTCACTTGTTTGGAAGTGGTCATTTTGGTGTATGAGTAGCCTGCCAATCGACTCAGCAGAGAGTTCCCACCACTATTGTCCACAGTACAGCTCTGCAGTGGTTTTTGTGAAGGTCCAGTGGTCATTGAATCCTGCAAACTATACCTAGTCATTGGGAGGGCATTGCATGTGGCACCTCACTTGTCAATTTTTGTTGGCTTGACTGTGAGCTGGATTGGAAGTTGTGGTGAAATCAGATAACTGTTATGTTTGAACATACCTGATTTAGAAATTTCCAATTTCTCCCACCACTAATGTACTCTGTACTACTCATCATGTGGTACTCTTGCCTAAGTGTTAGTTGGTAGCAATTTATTGTCATAACGGACATGATAACAGCAGTTCAAAATTGCCCTTGTGTATCTGATTACATATTACTGAGGCTGTCTTCATCTTCAAAGGTATTGTGAGATACATGAAAGAGCAGTCTGATCCAAACTGGGAGCCCCCACCAGAGGCAGTAATGACCTTGACTTCTGAGAACTTCGATGAAATAGTCAACCAGGCTGGTCCCATTCTTGTAGAGTTCTATGCTCCATGGTAAGAAAGTTGTGAAAGAGAAGAGGATGAAAATCCAGTTGTTTAAAGGTACTATACAACATTTGCTTTTGCTGTTATTTTCAGAAATTGATTGATTTGGGCATTAGGCAATTCCACGGTTACTCACGTTACATTTTTTGATGTACTTTTGAGTTTCTTGGGCTGTAATTACCTTACTGAAAAGTTTAAAACTTGCTATCCCCATGGTAGATAGAATTGACCTTTACTACCTAAGCACCAAAGATGACATCCAGAAAAATGCTTTATGTATTATAACCAAGATGCACAAAAAATCGTTACTCACGTTACGAAAATGTAAATTAAATGTTTACAGAAGTTCAAATTGTAAGGGCTTCGTGTTTGTGAATGTGTTATTGTCTGTTAGTGAGATAGCATTATGATGAAAGCTCTCTCAATTATCTAATAGGTGTGGTCATTGCAAGAGACTTGCCCCAGAATTGGAGGCTGCCGCAGGTGTTCTGAAGGATGATGATCCTCCAATTCCAATCGCCAAAGTTGATGCTACAGAAGAAAGGACCTGGCAACTAGGTTTGGAGTTAGTGGCTATCCACTCTATCATCTTTAGGAAGGGTGAAAAATCCGAGTACAAGGGTCCAAGAGAAAAAAGAGGTAAACAATTTTGAAGTATTTCATCATCACTGAATACTCAAAATATTCGCAACTGAATATTCGCAAAAAACGCAACTGTGATGTTCTGATCAATATTTTTTTTTAATTGTCAGATGCCACTTTTTTTACCATTTACAGTTACTGGTCTCATTCATTTGACATTTAAACAGTACTTGCTGCAAAACTCTCCAGCGACCCATGATATACATCGCTGCATGCACATTTTAACTGAGCGCTTTGCATGCAACTTTTGACCTGCGAGGAAGGCTGCTGCAGCTGCGTGTGAAAATTTGATCAGCCAGTTTTTCAAATATCGGTTAGATCTAATACTTAATTATTTGAAAGCTCAGTCTATTTCAATATATGTTTCCCATTGAAGAGCCAAGGGGTTTTGAATGCAACCCTTTCCATGCAGTAAACATTGCTCATCAGCTTATTGTAATAAAGACCTCCCTGCCATATGGGGCTCTGTGCGCCAACAAAAGTGTTTTTACCTCTTGAAAGCTCTGTGGACGGACACACAGCGTTCGCATACTGTGATGGTTCGCGCTTGAAGTACGCACAACTTCTTGAATGTGCAAAGTTATTAGCCACTGCATCTTTGCGTGAGTGTCGGCCGTCGTTGGTGCACGAATACATTCAAATTCAACTTGCCGATGGTC